TGAAGTGATAAAGAAGAGCTCTAGCATAGAGAACCCAATTATCTGGTGAAATTTTCTTTGTCTATCAATTGAATTCTTACATGAATTCCAAGAAAAAAATTAAAAAAAAAAATAGCTGCCATGTTTATGTGTAGAGAACCCCATCTCCTTCATCGGCCTCAATTATTGTTTTTCTTTGTAATTTTTTGAAATTCAAAATGGTGAACGTCAAGTGACCATACCTGCTGCATGCCTAAAAGGCTTACAAATTGTTTTGAGAGCACTTTTCAATTTGGAGCACTTGATTTTCACTGACGTGCTAAAACCATGGCCTGATTGATGCCGCAAAATCCATGATTCAAGTCACATGTTTGACATGGGCTGTCTGAGGATTTAGAGCAGAGTTCTATGTATCCCCGGGGCCCAACCACGTGTGGGGAATCTAGCTGAAATAATCAGACAATCAGTCCTCTGAGAAAGAAATTCCTCCTGCTTCCAAACAGTTGGAAAGGAAGAAATTGCCAAGTGCAAAATCGTCAATATGAGAGAGAAAAGAACAAAACAAATATTATACCTATGTGTTTATTTATTTATTTTGCATTAAACATGTATAAAATATAAAAATTATCATGGTATAATTCATGTCAATATATTAAATATGAAATATATTTTTTTGATTTTTGTCAAATTCATAAAAAAATTTTATTAAAATTTTAAATTATATCATTATTATTTTTTTTTCTAATTGTGTTAGTATTTAAAATGCCCAAGTCTAAAAAATATTTGTAGATAGGAAAAGAAGTTGGTATTTCTTTGTTACATTAAGTTCCTTTTATGAAAATAAGGAAAGAAAACTATGGTTTGTATGAAAAAATACTTTACCCCCCTAAGCTGTCCTTTCTCTAGTGAACCTATTTCTTTGAAATTTTCTATAAAACGCTAATCTGCTCCTCCCTTATTTCCTTCACATATTCATCATTATCATGCCCCATTGCTATTTGGTTTGAGGTTGTGGAAATGGCAAAAGCAGGTGTTTTTGTTTGTCTTGTGATTGTTATTGTGGATGCAGCTGCTGGTATTCTCAGCATTGAAGCAGAAATGACCAACAACAAGGTACATCCATCTTTTTTTACAAGCTTTCTTTGATATCTGATCACAGTAGCCGATCCATATGTATAAATAGGGTGTTTATGAATACCTCAAAAAATTGAAAAATAGGAAAATTTGAAAGAAAATTTTTACACCCTAAAATTTTTCTCTTTCCATCGATAAAATTGAAAAATATGTGGATAGTTTTTTATATATATTATAAGTGAACAATCCCGAAAAAATTCTCACAAAATACTGGACAAGACATGTGAATGTACTAATCTGGATCAAGGTTTACTATGTTTAACAGGCGACAAGGTACATGAGTATGAAGAGATTTGAGTGTCAAGAGCCAAATGATCAAGCTTTCAAGCTTGGGTTAGCTCCAGCTACTCTACTAGCTTTATCCCGTGTTACTGCCAACTTGCTTGGTGGCTGCATGTGCATTTGTTGCACAGAAGAGCTTGAAAGATCATCTGCTAATAGGCAATCCTGGTTCGGGTGCCTCGTTCTTTCTTGGTATGCTTACTTTCACAATTTCATTTTACCTTTTTGTTGATAATCAAGGACTAAATAATGAGTGAAATATAGGGGAATACTACAACAAATTAAAATTTATTGTCTAACCAAAAGGGATTGGTTGAGTTTGTAAGGTTCGAATATTTTACTTATAAGGATTAGATTTGAATCATGCTGCCAGCAGTCTCCTTTGGTGGGTTCCGTAAATCCAATGTAAGTCATTTATAAAACCTGCGATCTGTCTTGACTTTGAAATGGGGAAACCTCCTCTCAGCTTAAATTTTTTGTACCAAAAAAATTTCATTGTCTAACCTTCCCCCTTGGGAATGGCATGCAAATGAAATAAATAAAGCTGAATTAAATTTATACTCCGAGCACCTCAGGATTTCGGGTTAATTTCAATGGAACTCTCATGCATGTGTGCAAAATTTTCCTTTTAATTTGATATGAAACTCATTGGCTTTAATGAAGCAGAACCAAACTAAAAATGTTTATGATGCTGATTATCAGGATTGTAGCAGCTGTTGGATTTCCAACCCTGATTATGGGAATGCTAGAGAATTCCAAATCAAAAGGGTCATGCCAGGTTTTGCATCATCATTTTCTATTTGTTGGAGGGATATTGTGCTTTATACATGGCTTGTCAAGTGTTGCATTCTATGTTTCTGTAACTGTTACCTTTGAAAGGGGAAGTAGCCATGGACTAGAAGGAGACCCTTAAATCCTCTAATTTTCAGACTTGGGGTGAGTGTAGATACGGATATATTTAATTTTTTTTTATGTATTTAAAGGGTTGGACTTAATGTCCATATCCGTTGGATATGTGTACCAAACAAATATTTCAAGAAAAAGGAAAAATCAAACCACTATAGCTTAAATCTTCATGATATCCCTCATCAATTTTCAACCAAATTTGAATATCAAAAACTAAAAGAAATTAGTGAGATAACCATAATTTTGAACTAGAAAATTTGTCCAGTTACACCCGAGCTCACTTTTTTATTTTAAAATAATATAAATTATTTGAATTTAATTTTACTTATTTCTTTATTTATGTATGAAAATATAAAAAATTGTCAATTACAATATTTTCAATATTTTCATTTTAAGAGTTTTTTTTTAATTAAATATCTTTTACTATTTAATTTAATTTAGTAAACAATAAGCAAATTGATATGTTTTAAGAGGTTTTAAAAAAAACTCATATTCCCTTTCTTTTTTGTTAGATTTTTTTTGGTAATTTTTAAAAACATTTTTCTTTTTTTAATAAAAATTTTTATAAAAAATAAAATATTAGTCTCCTAAGGGGCTAATTAATTTAGGAGACGATTTTTAATTATAGTATATAGTAATAAATGTAAGTATTTATATGTGTATATATATATATATATATTAAATTGATTATTAGTATTTTATTATTTTTGTCATGTTTTCATAAAAATATTTATTTGAGAAATAGCTTTATTAAAAAATTATAAATTTTTATAGCAATTTTCTTTTTTAAATAATTTTTTTTTTTATAAAAATTACAATAGAAGTATGATAAGAAGACTAATTATTTAACATCTAAGAGTCTATTATTATATATGTAAAAAAAAAAAATGGTCTACCATTATATATAGTTATAGATTTAATTATATGTGGATAATTGCCTTCAATACTTAGGTGAACAAAATGAAAAAAGATCATCTCGAAGTTTCCACTACTTTATTTAAGGGTCAATAATGCACGTTCATCTAAATGTATGGTTGATATTTGTTCATATCTTTTTAACCTTTTTAATTAATTTTTATTTATTTTCATATTTAATTTAAAATCATTAAATTTTAATCATGAATTTAGATAAATATGCATTATTTTATTGGCAATTAGATAAATTAGTGAAAATTTTCACTACTTCTTGGTAAAGATGATCATTTCTAAAAAAGAAATTCCAAATTGGTGTTGTCACTTTCTATGTAAAACTACAAAAAGCCATGCACATATTTAATACAATAATTTTATACCCAATTTAACCCTCACATCATATTTTAAGACAAATATTAATTGTTCATAAATTAGATTTTAATTTTCTAAGGGACAACTTTAATCTATTCTATGGATTTGAAACTGGAAAATTGGCTTCCATTGATAATAAAATTCCATTTTTTTTTTCTTTTTCTGTTAGTTGCAAAAGGACTTCCCTAATAAAGCTAGGGTTTGAATTTCATTCAGACAGGACAGGACAGCATTTTACCTTGTTAGAAAAGAGAATAGGAAAGGCAATCACTTTTGCAAAAGCTTGGAAGTACAACAGACATTTTAATGAAAAATTTCTTGTTAAGAGATATAAAGAGATGTGAGGCAATTAGCTTCTCGTAGTATTGTTACAACTACAATTAAACTACGATACAAAAGCTAATTTGTAATTATCAGCATTGCAAAAGGAATCAAGATTAGGAAAAAGTCTCCTTCCTTTTATCAGTCTTTTCCAATCATTTTGATCCAAAGAAGTTACCTAGCTTTGATCTATGTGAATTGACCTCGAGACATAATCTCACTAGATAACATCCTAAACTAGGGATTCGTTTAGATTCCATCGCATTAAAACTGTACCGTATGATGTATTTGGATAACACTTTACCAGTGTAATTGCATTGCTCTCCAGTTTTTTACTGGAGGGAAAGGGGCCAATGGCCCAGGACCCTTAAGCATTAGAGTAATTTAATGTAAAATTGAAAAAAAAAAGTTTTGAATTATGATAGTTAACTGGTTTTAGTGAAACAAACCAGAGTCATATTCAATTTCACTATTACAAATTAATCTCGTTGCTATTTTTTTTTTTTTAATTTTATTGTCCACCCAAATGGATCTTGAAACTATAAAAAGTGTTATAAAAGTATACATCAATATGAAAAAGAAAAGGGCTGATATGAACGAGTGCAAAATCATCAATTATATGAGAGAGAAAAGAAGAAGAGAAATATTATACATTTATTTATTTATTTTGTGTCAAATAAAAATAAAATACAAAAATTATTATGTAATAATTTATGTTGACACGCCAAACATAAAGTACATCTTTTGATTTTTATCAAATTCATATATGATTTTTGTTAAAATTTTAAATCGTATTCTTATTATTTATTTTTTATTTTTTGTGTCTGTTAGTATTTAAAGTGCCCAAGTCTAAGAAATAATTGTAGTTAGGAAAAGAAATTGGTATTTCTTTGTTACTTAAGTTCCTTTTATGAAAATAAGGAAAGAAAATTATGGTTTGTATGAATAAATACTTTACCCCCCCCAAGCTGTCCTTTCACTAGTGAACCTGTTTCGTTGAAATTTTCTCTAAAAGCCTAATCTTCTCCTCCCTTATTTCCATCACATATTCATCATTATCATGCCCTATTGCTATTTGGTTTGAGGTTGTGGAAATGGCAAAAGCAGGTGTTTTTGTTTGTCTTGTGATTGTTATTGTGGATGTAGCTGCTGGTATTCTCAGCATTGAAGCAGAAATGACCAAAAACAAGGTACATCCATCTTTCTTTTACAAGCTTTCCTTGATATCTGATCACAGTGGCGGATCCATATGCACAAATAGGGTGTTTATGAATACCTCAAAAAATTGAAAAATAAGAAAATTTGAAAGAAAATATTTACACCCTAAGATTTTTCTCTTTCCATCGATAAAATTGATAAATATGTGGATAATTTTTTACATATATTATAAGTGAACATTCCCCACAAAAATCCTGGATCCTGCACTGTCTGATCATCACAAATTGCTTGGCAAGACATGTAAATTTACTATTCTGAATCAAGGTTTACTATGTTTAACAGGTGACAAGGTACATGAGTCTGAAAAGCTTTGAGTGTCAAGAGCCGAATGATCAAGCTTTCAAGCTTGGGTTAGCTGCAGCTACCCTACTAGCTTTATCCCATGTTACTGCCAACTTGCTTGGTGGCTACATGTGCATTTGTTGCACAGAAGAGCTTGAAAGATCGACAGCTAGCAGGCAATCCTGGTTCGGGTGCCTCGTTCTTTCTTGGTATGCATGCTTTTACAATTTCATTTTTCCTTTTTTATGATCATCATCAGGACTATATAATGAGTGAAATATAGGGGAATACTACTACAAATTAAAATTTATTATCTAGCCAACGGGATTGATTGAGTTGATAAAGTTCGAATACTTTACTTATGAGGATTAGATTCAAATCTCGCCGCCAGCGGTTTTTTTTGGTGAATTCTGTAAATCTAATGTAAGTTATTTATGAAGCTTGCGGTCTATCTTGACTTTAAAATGGGAAAACCTCCTTTCACCTTATATTTCTGTGCCAAAAAAAATTCATTGTCTAATCTTCTGCCTTGAGAATGGCATGCAAATGAAATAAATAAGGCTGAATTAAATTTATACTACAAGCACCTCAGGATTTCAGGTTAATTTCTATGGCATCCTCATGTTGTGTGCAAAATTTTACTTTTAATTCAATATGAAAGTCATTGGCTTAAATGCTGCAGAACCAAACTAAAAATGTTTATGGTGCTGATTATCAGGATTGTAGTAGCTGTTGGATTTCCAACCCTGGTTATGGGAATGCTAGAGAATTCCAAATCAAAAGGGTCATGCCAGGTTTTGCACCATCATTTTCTATTTGTTGGAGGGATATTGTGCTTTATACATGGCCTGTTAAGTGTTGCATTCTATGTTTCTGTATCTGTCACCTTTGAAAGGGGAAGTAGCCATGGACTAGAAGGAGACTCTTAAATCCTTTGTTACTTGAACTTGGGGTGAGTGTCAGATATGAGTATATTTAATTTTTTTTTTATATATTTGAAGGATTGGACTTCAATGTCCATGTCTGTTAGATATTGTAGGAAACAAATACTTCAGAAGAATGAAAAATCCCACCAACATATTTTTCAGGCAAATTTGGATATCAAAAACTCAAAGAAATTAGTGCGATAACCATAATTTTAAATCTGAAACTGGAAACTTGTCTTCCATTGATGATCAAATTCCTTTTTTTTTTTTGGGAGGGTTAGTTGAAAAAGGACTTACATAATCAAGCTAGAGTGTGAATTTCGTTTAGACAGGTTAGGACAACATTGTCCCTTGTCTGTTAATGGAAGTAAAAAAAGCAGAATAGGAAAGGCAATCACTTTTGCAAAAGCTTGGAGGTACAACAGACCTTTTAATGGAAATTTTGTTGCTAAGAGATATGAAGATATATGAGGCGGTTAGCCTTTCTTACAATTCTAACAACTACAATTAAAACTATAATGCAAAAACTAATTTGTAATTTAAACATTGTGAACGGAATCAAAATTAGGTAAAATGTTATTCCGTTTTATTCGTCTTTTTCAACCATTTTGATCCAAAAAAATTAGTATTATTGTTTTCAAATTTATCGTCAATCTAAATAGATTTTGAAGCCATAAAAAGAAGCGTTATAAGATTTCAAGTTTAAAGAAAAAAGCTACTGTAGCAGCGAGATAAAGACCAAACCTCAAGATCATTTCTTTTCTGTTTTTCTTTTGGTTCTAACACGAAGAAATAAGATAAGTTACTTCCAATATCCTCCATAAATTAAGCTAAAAACATGATCAACTTCCATGAGAATGGAAAATTAGACATGGTTAAGCATGGTCTCTTCCATAATTCATCATAATAGCAACATCAATAGCCAAATTATGACAATCATTTTTGGATTAGTACCCATGTTGCTTGATTATTCATTATTGGTTCATTTATCAATCACTAAGTTTTAAATTCAAACATGAAAAATCTAACATCTAACGAAATTTAAGAGTTAGTGCCTGTTTGAGAACTTTAAAAAATTGGAAAATTAAGGGTAGATTTGATGAATTATATATTTGTATCATGTAAAATATTAAAATTTATGTATTATATCACATTTTATATGATAATTACATATTATTTTTCGTATCAATACGAAAATATGAAATATTTTTTTTAATTTTATTAAATTCATATATAATTATGATTAAAATTTTAAATATATTATTTTTATATTTTATTAATATAGGTTTACTTTCAAGAGCATCTATTGGCAAGGGTGGGCTAGAATATCTTGGGCAATGCTGCACCAAATGACGAAAACCATGGGATAGTGTTCAAGCCAGACCCAGCCAGGTTCAAAATCTATAGAAGTTGGACTTGGGCTCACTTAGGGCCTCTGCCAACCAACCTCATTTTTGTTTCATTTTTGAGGACTTTTTTCAGGATCCCATGTGCAGTTTCTAATTGGTCAATCAAACCGAACTGTAGAAACCGAACCGTAGAAATAAAAAGATTCAAAATTCCTCGGAGGACATTTCCATCATAACGTCCTTCCATAAAATCCCAATCTAAAAAACCAAACTGAATTTCCCTCCTTAAATTTTAACTAACTAAAACTCGCAATGGAAAGGACGGAAGCGGTGTTCGGTTCAAATCTAAACTGTCCATCTGACCAACATCCAACGGTTCCCATCCTCGATCCGCGTCCTCTCTTCCCATTGGCCAATTCCTTTACCCTCTCCAATATATATACCCATAACAGGCGCCTATCCTTTCACTTGTCTCTCTTTTTCTTTCCCACGTACTACACGCGCTGATTTTGTTTATTTTCAATTTTTACGTTGCGGGTCTGAAATGGCCGGTCGGGGCAAAACTCTCGGATCCGGAGCGTCGAAGAAGGCGACATCGAGGAGTAGTAAAGCCGGGCTTCAGTTTCCGGTGGGTCGTATCGCTCGGTTCCTTAAGGCTGGGAAATACGCTGAACGGGTCGGAGCTGGAGCTCCGGTTTACCTCGCCGCCGTTCTTGAATATCTTGCGGCTGAGGTACAATAGCGTTTAATTTTTTAGGGATATCGGTAAACTTTGTTAAAGAAAGTGTTTAGTTGGTTCGTTACCTAATCTAGGGTTTCAATTTTTCCTTTTAATTTCGAGATTTTTTTTTTAAATTTGAATTTTTATGTTTTGAGAAACTTTCAGCAATTTGCTTTTGGAATCTACTTTGTTAATCTGAAAATTTGGGATTTTTAAAGGTTCTTTAATTTCATTTTTTTAAAAATTCCGAATCTATAATCTAAATTAGGGTTTTTAATAATATCTGCTTAAAATTGGGGTTCCTATTTTTGGATATGTGCTGTAATTTTGTGAATTTTAGTATCTTCCCATTATCTTGGGGCTCGAAAATTAGGGTTTAGTTTCCCACAAAAAGTTTGCTCTGGTTTTTTTTGGAGTTCAGATTTTTGTGAAATTTTGATATCTTAATCCCTAAAATCGGCAGAAGTTAGGGTTTCTATGTTTCTAAGCAGCAGATTATTATTATTATTATTATTATTATTATTATTATTATTATTATTATTATTATTATGTAATCTTAGTGAAATTAAGTATCTTTATATTTTCTTAGGGCTCGAAAATCAGGGCCTATTTTCCCCAAAATTTTACTACTTTTTTCGAAGTCAGATTTTTTTTTTTAAAAAAAAAATTGGTATCTTAATTCCTAAAATCAGTAAAAATTAGGGTTTCTATGTATCTAAACAGCAGTTTTTTTTTTAAATTTTAGTGAAAATTGTATGTTATTTCAGGTTCTGGAGCTCGCCGGAAATGCAGCCAGAGACAACAAGAAAACTCGAATCGTGCCACGTCACATCCAGCTCGCCGTAAGGAACGACGAAGAGCTGAGCAAGCTACTCGGAGACGTGACAATTGCCAACGGCGGTGTGATGCCCAACATCCACAACCTCCTCCTCCCCAAGAAAGCCGGAACCTCGTCCAAGGCCTCCGGAGTTGAGGAAGAGTAGATTAGATTTCCAAAAAACCAGAGAGAACCCATCCCTTTTCTCTCTGTGTTGAAGCAATTCTGAGATTGAACAGGTCCCAGAACTTGGCTCTGCTTGTTGTTCTATTAGTTTTTACTTTTTCCAGTTTAGGGTTTGAAGAAGAAGAAGCTTATTTAATGCCATTCGTGGAACTGTAACTTGTTGACACTGTTTAGGTAGTTGGTAGTTTAATGTGAATATGATCAAAGTTATGTCTTCTACTTGCTTGATAGAAGAGCTGTTGTGACCCATTATTTTTCTTGTCCATTAATGACATGAATGCAAGATTTTAAGCTCAGTTTGTGTTGCTTTCTCTTAATCTTAATGACTGGTTTTGTTGTTTCTTTTGAAAAGGATTTGATGATTTGAGATCTTGTTAGGGCTCTGAATACTATGAACAATTTAGAATTGTAGTTTGTCAACTGTATTAACCAACTGATAGTTTTCAAATTTTAGCTTAATGTGACTAAGAGTTGATTAAAGTTTGCATTTGTTGCCAATGGCATTTGCAATGATTTGTTAATAAAATATTAAATTTTTATTGTGTAATTTATTAATGAAATATTTATTTTTTTGAAATAATATAAAATTTTAATTTTAATAATCAAATTTAAAATCTCTCAGCTACAAAATAAATTTGGAATCTTGGTGGAAAATGGTTGCTAAGGATTTCTTAAAATGGAAGGCCTTTGAATCTTTTGACAATTGGAGAAAAAAAAATGGATGGATTTGGTTCAAATTTTCTCTCAAAATATGGTACCAAATGTCTCATTATAATTATATAAAGAACAAAGTTCTGATTAAAAAAAAAAGCATAAACCAAAGATAGCAAACCAATAGAAAAAAAAAGAAAAGAAATTTTATAGCCATTTCACTTGTCTAAAGTGATAAAACATAAATGTTTTTGGAATAAAAAAAATCATACTTACATTAGAAATTAAAAAATATTATTATTTAAACAGATAAAATTATAGTATATATTTTTATCAATGATTTGTATAGAAGGGTAAAAAATTATTCATCATAATTTGAAATTATTATTTTAAAGATTTTCATTTTGTTTAAATATTTTTAAATCCCTAAATTGCCCTCCAATAAATAGCTTTTTAACATTTTTTTCTCCTCCACTTGAGTAAATTTCCATTTCAAGGCCCAAGAAAAAAAAATAAAAATCCCAAAACTAAGAAAAAATAAAGCCTGGGAAAACATTCTATTGTCAACCCTTTTCCAATAAAGGCAAAATTTTTGCCTGGTTAAAATTTTTACGTTCATTACAACAGCTGTTTTTTTCAATGAGTTGCTATTGATTGGATCTGATCATAATAAAAGGACCCATCTTTGTCCTTTTTATGTTTTCAAATTTAGGATCTTTCAATTACTAATAAAAAAGTTGGCAAAATTAAAAAGAAAAGATTTGAAATTTGTTGGTTTTTCTCTATTCATCATAACCTTTTTATGGCTTTCTGGGTTTTTGTTTCAAAATATGATTTTGATCCCAATTTTTTGGCTTTCCAAGGAAAGGTAAGTTCTGGGTTTTTTTTTCTTTTTTTTTAATTTTGATTCCGAGATTCATTTTTTCATTAAGCTTTTGAGGATTTTCTACCTGATTTTAAGGGTTTCTTTTGAGAGAAAATTGAATTGAGTTGGTGCCGAATGGTATAAGTTTTAAACGTTTGATGATAGAATTTGGTAAGGTTTTGGTTATTGATGAAATGAAAAGGAATCCGTTTTGTGCTTGTGATGATGCTGATGATACAAGGACAAATGGGTGTCATAAGAGCAAATTGTTTGGGGTTTTTGGCAATTCTACTTTGTGTATCATTGGCTGTCAACTTGGATTACACGAAGGTTGGAGAAGAAGCATTTCTTAACCAATTACTAGATCCAGCAACTGGGGAGATTGATGAGAATCTGGTAAATGATATTGCTTTGCTTGTTTTCTCTTGACTTCAATCCATTTGTTGTATAAACCCCTTTGTACATAAAAAAAAACTGCTTATATGATTGGTTTTGTTTACTTTAATGTCCATTGGCTGCAGTTGGTTTACTTGAACAATATTGTTTGTGGGTTGAAACCAATTATGGATTTACTGAAATCATGCTTTAACCTTTTATTGTTGGGGTAGAAATAGTTGATAGCATGTTTAATGAAACCTTGGGAATATTTTGGGACCATACTTTAGCGATCAACTCAAGCATTTTAACTTCGTAATATTTAATGATCTTTTAGTGATTACATAGAGGTATTAAAGTTGTTGTAGTAATTTCCATATTGTTTATCTATCAGGTATGTTTTTAAGTTGGTTGGAAGTGGGGAAGGAGCAAACCTACATTAGAAGTAGAAATATGTTGGAGTATTATGCACTAATGCATTGAAATATCTGCTGGAATTAGAAATTTTTTTATTATACCAGTAGCTTGCCTTTATCGATGGATAGCGCATACTAACCTTTTGAGAACTGGAAGAGGCATTCGATGTTTGACTTTTTGAGTCCATGTAGTAAGCACTGAAATTAAGGTGCACTCTGAATTGTTTTGAAACATGTTGTTTGATAATGTTTTAAAGCTTATTATACCATTTGCTGATGTCAGCAACATGGGATATTGACAAAATAGATTAGTGAAAATGTACGTAAGGTAGTGATAATAATTACTGGAATGTTAAAAGTTGCACCTGAGATTAATAATTACATGGTAATTTTCAATGTCAATAGATAGTACATTAAGATGCTTTCGGTTTCTGTAGATTTAAGAAGTAGGAACTAAATACTCTTGCCATTTGCTACAACATTGCTTAAAATTATTAAATTGTTTACATGCAGGCGGAGTCATTATGGATAAGTTGCAGAAAATATTTGAATGATTTAAAGGAAGCTTTTGAAGATCCCAAGTTACAACTTCTGGAGGAAACACCCAGTACAACCGATGATATCGATAGAAAAGGTCACTCATTAGCAAAAGAATATATTCAGAAATCGATTAATGTTGTCCACCCTCAGTTAAAGCAAGCTCTTTCTGACTGCATAAGAAAGAATAATCTTCTATTCCAAGTATCTGGAGAAGATAATGGCTTTAAGACTTGGTACACTGGATATTTTGAGTCATTGTTTCGCTGGCGTGATGTTCCTAGAAGGACTTTAGCTACTCAGAGCACTGCAGTAGCCCCTACCTTGAACTTAGGCCCATCCTCATCTCCATCCCCAGCTCCAGCCCCTTCTCCTGCTTCTGAATCCCCTGCTTTCAGTCCAGATCCATTGCAAAGTCTTGCATTTCCACCTTCTCCACTTCCTATACCTTCTCACCAAGATGCACCTCCAATAAATGATCATTTGGACAATTTAAGTCCAGCCAACAGCGATTCAGAAGACACAGGGACTGATAACAGTTATACAATTATTGTTGCTTGTGTTGTGACTTCGGTAGTAACATCTGTTGTTGCGGCATTATTCTTCTTTTTATGCTGGAGTAGAGATTCTGGGGCTAAGAAAAATGATGAGAGGCCCCTTCTCAGTTTAGGCTTTAGTGATTTCTCCGGTGGTATATACTTTCCCACACACTGTTGTTGTCTAGAACCTTTTGACAAATTTTTGATCAAAACTTTTTTTCCAGGTTCTTCTCATGCATATGCTTTTGGATCTAATAAAGAAGAGAAGCTTGGTCACCAATCATTTGGTAATGAATCAAGTCTACACAAAAACGATTCAACCGACGGCAATGTTTACATTGAATCTAATGCTCTACAAATCTCCTTGGATGGAAAGTCATCATTTGGAGCTGTTGCTGAAGCCACCAAAGCCTCAGCTGAATCTTCGGACAAATCAGGCAATACTAATTTGCAGCTACCACTGCCTCCAGGAAGGGTGGGTCCTTTGAAGTCTCCTCCTGGCAGAGCATATCCTCTCCCTCCTGAACCTCCTGCCCCAATTAGGGCCAGTCCTCCTCCACCTCCTGCACCACCTCCCTCTATGAAACCTGCTTCTGCCAATGTAGGCCCTCGACCTCCTCCACCACCTCTACCCCCAGCTGGTGCCAAATCTGGTCCTCGCCCACCACCTCCCCCAAGTACTGGTCTCGGTCCTCCTAGGCCACCTCCATCAATGCCCTTAGGTTCAAAGATGCCTCGAGCACCGATTGGACCACAACGGACACCAAATGCCATCTCTGGCGAGGGATTTGGTTTAGGGGATCATGCCCATGCTCCTAAAGCCAAATTGAAACCATTTTTCTGGGATAAAGTTGCAGCCAACCCTGATCATTCAATGGTCTGGAACCAGATTAAATCTGGATCGTTCCAGTATGTAACAATTCTTTTCTTTGTTTTTCCTTTTATTCTTGATGCCAATGGATCTTGCAGAATAGTTGATACTACCTTTGCAGGTTCAATGAGGAGATGATAGAAACTCTGTTTGGGTATGCATCTGTTGACAAGAAAAAAATTGATGGAAAGAAAGAGCCCTCTGCTCAGGATGTGCCTCAGTATATCCAAATTCTTGATTTCAAGAAAGCACAAAATTTAGCAATCCTTTTGCGGGCATTGAATGTGACCACTGAAGAAGTTTGTGATGCACTTCGTGAAGGTTATTTCCTCCATCTTATTTATCCTTTCATAAATGTGCTTCTGAGCAACATATGAGTAGGTTTCTGAACCAGTGCTCCGGACAGATGTTTGTCTGCATACACGTTAATTAGGAAAGCATGCTTAGCTATTAGGGCTACAAACATTTTCACCAGTTTATAATGGCTATGCTTTCAACTACTGGTGGTTAATTGTTGATAATTAAGCAAGAATTCAGTCAGGGCATTTACTTCTATATAATTTGCTACCTTTCCCTCCTAGTTGATTCCTTTTGGCTTTTCATGCATTGTACCTCATCTTGAAAAAGAATCTCAGTTACTATGTTTTATATATCTACCATGACTCATGTTTGCTAATGCCTGAAGAATGTCGAACGTGAACATTTAGTTGAAGCTAACCATATGTGATATAATAGTCTGAATGGGTTTTCTCCATTTCCTCTATTTGGTTTTCGGTCAAGGAGGAAAAAGGAGTTATCATACGGACTGAACTTTTCTATGCTTGGAATTAGCATATTTATTTGAGCATAATATAACTGGAATATTACACCCAAACCCATGTAACCACATTATTTGCTTATTCATCATAGTTAAACAGTTTTTGAGTTTTAGAGTAAATAGACACAGGTTCATTCTGGTAAAATGGAAAATTATTAAGATAATCTGGGTTCCTAAAACTTGTTTAAAGCATGAGATTATTAACAGCGAAATAACTACATTGGTTTCCCTTGAACCAAATTACATGTTTAAAAACCTGTAATTTAGCTCTCAGCTTCTGATAAGGTTAGTGCTCCTCTCATTGTCTGTGTATATGTTTGTTTGCTTATTTCTTATGCTGAGGTGGGGAAGTGGAGGGGTGGTTTGGGGTGTTTCTTTCTAGTTATTGTAATATCAAGATGCGGAAAATGCACCGCAGGTCTTTCTCCAGAGGCCATGGGTGCACCATTGCCCTGAACTTATAATGATTTATGGACTAATCTTAGTATTAATATACAGAAATCCTGTTTTTGATCTGAAGATATCAAGGGAACATTTCATAACTGAAAGAGCTTCAAGAAACTTTATTTTATTGATCAAGCATGATATTCTAATCTGTTCTTTTGAAATCAGGAAATGAGCTCCCTGTTGAGCTTCTTCAAACTTTATTGAAGATGGCACCAACAGCAGATGAAGAACTCAAACTTAGACTGTTCACTGGTGACATTTCTCAACTCGGTGCTGCTGAGCGGTTCCTAAAAGTCTTGGTTGACATCCCTTTCGCTTTTAAACGAATGGAAGCACTGTTTTTTATGTGCTCTCTTTATGACGAGGTTACTGTCACTAGAGAGTCATTTGAAACATTAGAGGTGGGTCATTAGATTTTAAATTGCATGACTTGCATGATCAATATTTAGGTCCAATAATTCATACAAGGTATGTTATGCCTCCGAAGCATATTTAGATAGTCAACAAAATGTAATTTTAAAGATGTGTCTTTTCATGGAAAAACACATACTCTTCTATGATGGTTTATTCAATCAAATTCAGTCTCTTTCCTATTTGGCAGGTTGCTTGCAAGGAACTCAGAAGTAGCCGCTTATTCCTCAAGCTCTTAGAAGCTGTTCTTAAAACTGGAAATCGCATGAATGATGGGACATTCCGTGGTGGTGCAAAAGCTTTCAAACTTGACACGCTTTTGAAGTTATCAGATGTTAAAGGGGTAGATGGCAAGACCACACTATTGCACTTTGTTGTCCAAGAGATAATACGCACTGAAGGTTTGAGAGCTGTCCGTGTTGCAAGAGAAAGCAAAAGTTTTAGCAGCATAAAATCTGATGATCTTCTTGAGGATGTTTCCCCTGATATGGAAGAGCACTACCGTAGCCTTGGTCTTCAGGTGGTTTCACATCTAAGTAGTGATCTTGAAAATGTCAAGAAAGCTGCAGCTCTCGATGCTGAAAACTTAACAGGAACTGTTGCCAAACTTGGCCATGTGTTCCTAAAAGTACGTGATTTCTTGAACTCGGAGATGAAAAGTACAGAGGAAGAAAGTGGTTTTCACGAAACATTAAAGAGTTTTGTGCAGAGTGCTGAGGCTGATGTCATGTCATTGCTCGAGGAAGAGAAGAGAATAATGGCTTTGGTGAAGAGCACTGGTGATTATTTTCATGGCAATGCACAGAAGGATGAGGGCCTTCGCTTGTTTGTCATTGTACGAGATTTTTTGATAATTTTGGATAAGGTGTGCAAAGAGGTTAGAGATAACCCAAGGAAGCCAGTAAAAAGCACATAAAAAACAAGTGTCTAATGCATCATCTTCCTCTTAGTCTCACTTTGAACCACCTTCTCCTGATCCTCATCAGAAGCTTTTCCCTGCAATAGTGGAGTGAAGGATGAATGATTCTAGTTCTAGTTCAGATGACAAGAGTTAATAGTGTTCATTTGAAAAAGGTATGCTGTTCTTATCTTTGTCAAGCAAATCTTTTATGTTGCCACATTTTATGCTGAAATTTAATAGATTGTGTTGCTGGTGAGATAAATTCAGTTTTTCATCAGATGGATGCTAATCGTGCAGAGAAGATAGGAATCCACTGAAGCATCATTGCCGCAATATTTTGATTAAAGGAATACATCTGAAGTACCAGCAGAATGGGATAAGGAAAAATGCTAGATTTCAATGAAGCCCACATTGCAAAAAGTTCAGTTGACCTTCCTTTGGTATTGGATTCATGGTTCTTGTTGATTTCCCCTCATCTGCCCAACTTGTGCATTAATAGTTAGATATAAAGATACCTTCATATATTTTTAATTTATAATTCTTTGTTAATAGAAGTTTCTGTTGATAATTTTTCTTTGAAAGAATATTTATCAGGGTAGTGTTGAAATTGGAAATTGCTTCACTGGCTACAAATTTTAGAGGGAAGAAATTTTGATATCTGTGATTCTTGATCTAGTTTGGTGAATGCCACCATGTTCTTGCCTTCCTGAAATGATATTAACTGCCTTACCTACTTCTGATTGCTTTGAGGCTGTTTGATAGGAAGGATGGAAGTAGAAATTGAATTAGCAGCATTTTGCTTTGGCTGCTGGTTAGGCAGATATGGTAATTTTGAAATATGATATAGTGGCAAGACATAAAAATGATGCGAAAAAAATACATGGTAATATGGTTTAAAATTTTAACAAAAATTATATATAGGTTTAATAAAAATAAAAATATATATTTCATATTTTGGTGTCATTACAAATTATTATCGTAATTTTCTTGTAAACTATGACACGAATTCATGATTTGACAGTGTTCTACTTGCTATGAACCTATAAATTGCCAGGTTTGGCTAGGAAATTGGATCATCCTGTGTTCCTATTCATTGGAGGAATCAAAACTAAAGGTCTCAAATAATTCTAAGATTGAAAGTACAAGATCAGCACTATCATAAAACAAACAGCATTTATCTTTAGCCAGGAAAGACAATTATGTGGCTGTATTCCAATATCCAAAGTGGCTCCAGCTTTTCCAAATTCAAACATCCATGAAGATACCAATTCTTCTTTAAAGAAAACTAGGTCTACCAGATGCCAAAACCAGAGGCATTCCTGTCAAAATATTTATTGCCACTAAAAAAAAAAAAAGAGAAAAAGGTGGAAATGGAACTAGATAGCTGACATGCGAAGAAATTAAAAAAAAAAAAAAAAATTCCTTTCACACACCTTTGCATCTTTTCATAGTATTCTCAACCTTTCTATTTATGCATATCAAATTGATGGAAACTGAAAACTGGAAACTGGAATAGGATCAAGTAAACTGTAATATCATGGACATGGATCAACAGTGAAGCTTTGCTAGGAATTCAAGTGTACAGTTTTATCCACCATGCCATTATGATGACTGTTTTTTTTAGAATTTGGGTGATTACACAATCAGGTTTTTGAGCTTTTTCAGCCAAGAAAAGAATCAGGGCTAATGTTCTAACATAAGATTCTACTCAAAATTATTGTCAGAATATGAATCACAAAAGCTGCATTCTTGAGTGAACAAGTTTTTTTATTAAGATCTCCTGTCTGTATTCTTCTGAACACAGTTAGTAGCTGTTGTATTATCTAAGGTTATTATCCTTAATCCATGTCTTAATTTATCTATAGAACAATGTTGAAACTTTTATAAAGATTATGCAATGTTTTTGTTGAAATTGGATGGAGAGTATCTCATCAAGAATAGATGGTTCTACAAATCCTGCCAGACTTTTTTTATACAAAGAGACCACAGCATGAGGAAAGAAGAAGGATTGCAGGGACTAGAATATGAATCGTAAACCTGTTGGATGTCACCTTTTTAGATAGCTACATGAACCAACGGAGTCAAGCTCCGGACTTAATCTTACCAAAATTTTACTTAAGATTCTCAGGAAAAGGATAATCATTTTGCCACATCTTCTATATTTATTTCTGTGGGTCACTAGAAAGGCATCAATTCATGCCTACGGCTACCAGTCACACCAGTGAGTAATGTCCAGAAGAGCATCATTCATTTTCCACTTTTAACACTTTGCACTCTTCAAAATATTCCCAGGGAATTTGTCCACTCCTTTCTCCAAACGACTCTCTCACACTATAAGATGCCAAACGCCACAAAACTCTGTCCCTGAAAAATCCTGAAATCAGAACAGTTTAACTCTGCAATGAGTAGCTGCATCAAACTTGAAGTTCAAACAGAAGATCAAGCCCCTCAGAAATGGTGCATTTCATTAGCAGAAGACGTATTTAAGAGGTTTCTCTCCCAGGGTTGTCCAACAGTGCATAAGGTATTTGGAGAAGGATCATTATTTAGTCCCTTGTTGTTTGGGAAATTCTTTGATCCGTCAGACGCCTTTCCTCTGTGGGATTTTGAATCAGACAGCTTATTATCTAATTTAAGGCACTCAGGCAAGAGCACAGTTGATTGGTTTCAGACAGACCACGCTTATGTACTTAAAGCAGAACTACCAGGTCAGTGGTTTTCAGCACCCCTTTAAGCATTCTGATGTTGAAATGTAAATTTAACCGTCCATAGAACCAGGAACTTAGCTCAATTAGTTCTTGCAATCACTTTTAAGAGGTGTCATATAACAAGTTTGGGATTCAAATCTACAACCTTTTTTCCTATCCTCAGACTACGGCATTCTTTGTACTAAAAAACTGTGAAATTTACGGACTACATACATACATATATATATATATATATATATGAACCCTAAGTAGTGGAGGCATTATCCATAACTATCTGCTTTCTGTGCCTTGAAAAACAAGGGACCTTGCATCAAAACATTTGTGGTTCCAGAAAACGGGAAAAGTAAGATGAAGTTAGGCATGAGAAATGGTTTGAAAGAGTTGGGAATAAGGCCAAGACTCCATAGGTTTAAAGCAGGACTAAATTAAAAAGATGGTTGTTTATTTTGTCAAGACTGATCAATGCTGGTTTGATGATTGAAGCAGGAGTGGGGAAAACTAATGTACAAATCCATGTTGGAAAAGGGAAAATTGTTGAAATTAGTGGACAACTAAAGCAGCAAAGAGAATTCAAGACAAAGGATTGGAGAAGCTGCAATTGGTGGGAATATGGATATGTTAGGAGGCTTGAGCTGCCTGAAGATGCAGATTGGAGAAGAATAGAGGCATCCATGAGCACCGACGTGCTTCTAGAGATTCGAGTTCCGAGAAATCCTTTGCATACTGATCAAACTCCTGATGATGCAGTTGGCGAAAATTCAGAATGAATGTAGAACAAATAACACAAACTTGCTGAGAACATGATAATCTTGACATAAAGAAAATTTTTGTGTGATATTAAAGCATGACAGACCGTGTAAGAATATGTTTAGATCACAAATATTTGGTATCAGATGGCAGATATAGGCCTGATAATTGATCTGAAATGAATTACAGAGAAGAAAGATCACAGTGTTTATGGCAGACAAGCTGTTTGAAACCATTAAGGACTACTTCATGAGCATCGCCAACCACCTAAACGATAAATCATGTGCTTGAAAATCTAAAGATTTGGTCAGAATCTTCAACGATGAAATATGCATCAAAATTATTGAGAGCTTGCTAAAACAGGATTTCGAACAATGCCATACCTCAGCATGAAATTTCTAACCAATTGAAAGCATGACTTCCTTTATATTTAAGGAAACATTATCATATAAAGAGCTACATGAACCCGACGTAAATAAGCCTGTTTGGACTGACCTGAAGGGGGATATACTTGGCAAAAACGGGGAACCCTTTGCCGCATAGTTAAAAAAAAAAAAAAAAAAGCTAAATGAAGTAAAAAAATGTAGTGCAAACTAGAAATTAATCAACCATTTACTATGTTTTGGATCTGAGAAATTGAATCTTTCCAGCCTTTTCTGCTATGCAGCAGCAGAATTCTTCATTTTCAATCTTTTACTATCTCTTTGTACCATTCATGTCAAATGTTATTGCATTTTATATTTCACAACATCATTGCAATGTTAACTACAATGGCTAGGAAGTTAAATTTGCAAGAAAGAAAAAGAAATATCCTTTATTTGGAAGTTTCATTTCTGTTGTTCTAACTGATTCTTGCCTGCACCATATCTGATTTTCTTTTATCCCATGTTAACCAGCCTTGTCTAGGTTTCGGCTCAAAGACTTTGATGTCTGTAAATATCTCTCCTGAACCCACATCAGTGGCTGAGTCCCTCTGCCTCACCATGATTCGCAGCCAGGGTTAATGCCTGCGAGATAGGGACTTTATGGCGACAACTCAACATGCGAACTCCAGATTCCTGCTTGAGCTAAGGCTGATCTTTGATTAAGAAAACCTTTTTTGCTTCTTTCACTTGTTTAGTTATCCTGATTGTAGTCATTGCTGTAGTGCTCTTGTGTTAATAGTATGCAACCCCTTCGGTTCTATACTTGTATAACTTGTCCTGAGCTGATTTCTTCAACATTTCCATTTGGGAAAAATAGTGTTTTGTGTTTGACGTGTCCTTATGAATTGTGACAAGTAATTAACATGTTTTACATGTGTTAAGACACGAAACAGATAAATGAATTATCAGTTCTAAATTTCACTCTTACCTTCAAAATGAAATCAGACACCATCATCCTTTTCTTTTTCTCTTTTCATATATGCTAATGTACTTAAAGGACAAATGAGCTGCATCATGCAAAGCATATATATTTTGCCAATAGCAAGATCTGTGATTTAGGCCATTCGATCCATGACCTCTTGGAGAATAACTTTCGTGTCCTCATAACATGATTCTGTCCGGGGCAGGTTTTTCATCTTCGCAGCATCTTCAAGCTGTGAACAAATGGAAAATTTTACATTTCTCAGCAGCTGCTGAAAGTCCCATTCCCCAAAGACCAAAATCTATAACAAGTTTCATGTACAGATTGATTTACCTTGTCAAAACTGTCAAATAATCTGTTAGCCAAAGCAGTAAGAGTTTGCTCATCATCAGCTGATGATGCAGAGATAATTTTGTCGAAATCATAGTACATGACAGTAGACTTTAGTCTCAAATACTTCTTGACATAATTCGGAGTGTCTGGCCCAATCAAATCTGCCATTGCAAGAAGATCAAATGCATATTTCTTGAGCCTGTACATGCGGTTTTTGGTGTTGAGGTTGGCCACATATAGTCCTTTCTTGACAAAAGATCGAGTTCCAGTCTTCTCATTTGCAATATCTGTCATTTGGGAAACAAAACCAAACATTTCTTTTCATGTCTTAGAATTAAATATCAGCTTATGAACATCAACAAGAAAGAAACCAAAAAGAATTCACTAGAGAAAATAAAAGTTCTTTTATTTTTAAGCAAATGATCATAAGAAACCAACGAATGGTTAGTTCAAGTGACAAAGAGAGCGTTCTTCACTTTATTGCCAGCCAAGTTTGAATCCTGAGAGACCATAAGAAAGTAATTTCTCATGAATTTATTAGGTCAGACATAAATAAATTTGTTTAGAGTAATGGATTTAAATAGCGTTGGGGATACGATATGGCAACCGCTATTTGACAGCCGCTATTTAGTGGTAGTGTTGTTCTCCGCCACTGTTATTTACCATAATGAAATTGTGAATCGTTATTCACACAAATAACGATATATTACTTCTGCAAATAGTGATATAATGAAAAATTATGATCATAACAAAACGCTAAGATTAAAATATCATAAATTACTTTAAATATTATAAATAATAATAGTATGATCAAACTATTTTTTTGTTTCATTTTATGATAAATTATAAAAATTTTAAAAAATTCATGGTGAATGCAACTATCGTTTATCGATTATGTTTGCAACCATGATAAATGCAATGTGATTAAAAAACACGGCCGCCATCGAATTTTAAATCTCTGATTTAGACTAGTCTGAATAAGGAATATACGGGACAAAACTCAAGAATCTTTGCTGCTTCACCAAGAAAAATGATCATAAGAAAACTTACTGTTTTCGACAGAAGGAACAGGTAAAAGATCAGTAATCCAGTAACCATTATCTTCAGCAAGTGAGACACTGTTGCTACAAGTTCCAACAAGAGCAATGGAGGCAAGGACTAATGCCACTCTTCGAGTACTTTGCAATGGTTGTTCTTGAAAGTTTTCTGTTTTCTTGCCAAGAATTCCAGTCACTTTCGATGTTTTCCAGGTTTTTTGAATGCTGGGAAGCTTTGGGATGGATGGCAGGGTCTCACATGTACCATTTAAGTTAGCTAAATGAGCCATTTTGAAGAAGAGTTGTAGCGTGAAGTTCCTGAAAGCAGTTAAAGTTTCTTTGTATTTCAGTTATATTTCGTTCTATGCAAGCGTTGGAAACTATTGAACCACCTGAAGGATATCCCCATTATGATGGTACCGCCATTTTGCAAATATGGGTCGCAAAACTTACTTTCCAAAAATTGATTTACGAAAAGTTATATAATTTGAAAATTTATAAGAATGATAATTAAATAATTTTATTTATAAAAAATTTATAAAATATAAAAAATAAAAAATAAAAACAAGATTTTATTTAAAATCTTTCTTTCAACATTTGAATCATTTATTCGATAAATTGTCAAATTAGATAAAACCTGATAAGATTTTTTTTTTTTTTTTATAACTGTATTTGGATATGCGATTCAAATGGTAATGAGAATGTAATATGTTTTGATTGTATGGATTTAAATTTGTTGAAAAATTATATGAAATAATTTTTTATCAAATGATATAAAATAATATATTTAAATCGATTGGAAAAAAATTATATTGAACAAAACTTAAAAGTTCTTTATTGTTCAACTAAAATAATTGTTTGCTCAAATCAAATAATTTTTTTTTAATTTCTTAATCTGCTCATAATCTTCTTTACTATTTATTTATCTGATTAAAAAAGATATTATTTTATATTTTCATTTGAATTCATAATCTCTAAATTTTAATAAAAATTTTATGTCAATTGATCCAAACATTTGTGGTGACTCAAATCAAATAGTTCAAATTTTAAAAAATACCTATCATACATATATTTATCAAATTTTTTTTTATGAAATATTTAAAGTAAATAAATTATTTAATTTTTAAATTAAAATAAAATATATCGTATCTAATAATTTAAAATAAATGATTGTAAATTATATATTTGAAATGATTTTAATAAACGATTATCGATAACTCAAATCAAAAATTTTTTATAAAAAAATAAATCTTAACTAATTGAGTTAATTATTTATAAGTATTTATCAAATGTTTCTGTTTATAAATGCAAGCTTGAATGGAAGATGTACCATTGAATAAAATATTCGAATGTTCGAACATTTAGCTTCGCAGACTAGGGCGAAGGAATTTCAAACTCGGACCAAGTCCCCAACTGGGCTTTTGAAGCCCCAAAAGATTCCGAGTGCAAAGGCCCACCATCTGACACCAATGACCAATCCCACCGTTTTCCACACGTTTCCCTTTTGCTTTTGCTTTTCCGTAGACCCTTCTTTTAATTTTCTCTCAGGCCAAACAGAGCCCCCATTTTGCCACAGCCGGAAAATCAAACGAAACCCTTCAAACTTTCCGGCGAAAAACAAAGTCAGCGGAGAATGGTTTCCCCTGACAACTCCAATTATTGGTCTCACTTTGATTATCAAACCTTGATCGACGATATCCCTGTCTCCGACGGACTTTATTCCGGTTTTTCTTGGTCCACTCAACCAATCAACGCCTCTTCTAATGTTGTTAGGTATCCCTAAAAAATCATCTCTCCTCTTTCTCTCTCTTTTTCTAATTCTCAGTTAGGGTTTTGAAAAATGTTAATTTGATTGGTTGGCTTTGTTTTGAGATTTAATCATCTATTGGAGGTTTAATTTTGTTGAATCTGAATAGGGTTTCTTGGAATTTATAATAAAGTTTTTAGTTTGCACCGTTTTTTCACGGAAAAGTTTTTTGCTGGGAGCAGATTAGGGCTTTTTTTTCAGTAAATTATGTGAAATGATTGATTCTTTATCTTAAAATTGTAAAATCAAGTGAGGGTTTCTTTTTTTTATTATTTTTAAATCACGTAGTTTGGTTGTTTTTAGGGGTATATTGTTGGTAGGTTAACTTGGTATGGTTAAAAATATGTAGTAGCTGATAAGTCTAATCGAGCTTTCAAATTTTAATGCATTTTTATTATTTTAATTAAAAATTACTATTTTATCATTATATATATATACATATCAGCTGGAGTTTGAGTTTGAACACATAATTGAGCCTGAAATTGAGTATGAGAATCAAGCTCATTTTTTATTAAACGAGCTTAATCGAATGGGCTTGAGTAGTTCGATTTTTATCTCAAGTCGAACTCGAGCTTAAAAATTAAAACACGATCGACCTCAAACCAAGTTTTGAGCAACGAGTTTTGAGTTGAGCTTGAGTTTTTCACTACATTGACTCGACTTCGTTCGATTACACTCTTAGATTTGAGTATGGTTGTAAAGTTCATTTAATTTTTATCTTAGCCAAAGGTTGTTATTCATTGAACTAGACAAGGAGACAACCTGTCAAGTTGCATTTGGTTAGAAAGGTGTTTGTTTTATGCTATGTAACCTGACAGTATGCTTCTCGAGTGCCTGAGTGGTCATATGTTTATGCTGATGTGGTTTTTGTATTCACTAGCCATTCATGCTCTCTTGTATCATATATTCTATCATGTGTTTGTTTTCAAAGTATTTTGAGTTTTAAACCTGAAGGCTGAAACACAATTTTCGTGAACTGGGTTTTGTGGCCGTGCTTCTCGGAGGATTCTTTGAAATCAAAGCAATGTTATTGAAAGTGAGATTTGAACAAAGCTGCTTGCAGACGCATGTTTTATAAACATCTTGTTCCATTCTTTGTACTCAAAATTTTGTTGCAAAGTGGAGTTGGTGAGGATTTTGTAGGGTGTCACTTCGGAGCATGTTACTGTGCAATTTATAGTTGTTGATTTGCACTTTATTATGCATTTTTTTAGCGGATTTGGGATTTTGTTCTGTGCTTCTTGAGTCTTTGAGATGTGTACGGAATGAGAATTCAGATCCATTGAGAGGGGAGGAGCATGCCTGGATTAACCGCTTGGAAGTGCTAGCAGGAGCCTAATTGAGGTTCTTAGTCATCTCTCCCATGTTCACCATTATTAGGTGCTTTATCCACCACACCTTGAAATTTTGAATGAAACAAAAACCTTGGTTCTGAAATTGTTTATTTTTTTAGGCAGAAGTTTTCATTCTGATCTCTTATGTGTTTTGAGGATTTTCATTGTGGAACATTTATAACTTCCATTCCAGTGTAGATCTTCTAATTCTTTGTTTGTTTGCAAGCAAGATTCTCTCTCTCCTATTTTTATGGGGAAGGGGGTTTTCTTCTTACATTGGCTTGTACTTTTTCACTTGGATATTTTGTTGCTTTTGTTTCTCCTATGTCATATTTTCTTTATTGTGTGGTGTGATCTGTTTCTAGTGTGGAAATTGATGGCTCGTTTGGGGATTCAGATGGCCTTAAGGAATCTGGTGCAAAGAAGAGGTACCGTGTCTTTCATGCTCTATGATTTGTTAGTGAAAAAAAGATAAAAAAAAAAAAAAAAAAAAAACTATCACCAGTTCCACTTTCATGATGAGTTAGGTTTTCACCACTTATTTCCTCATATGTGTTTTTGGGTAAAGAACTGATTTAATTGGTAGATACTTAGGTGGGTATAGAATACCTTTATTAAAAGAATCATATAGAAATCCTCCAAACTTTTAGGCTTAGGCATACTTCTGGCCATGAGATATTCAGTAGATAAAAGGTAATAATATCTAGAGGCATTATTTTTTAGGAGCTAAAGCATTTTAGTTTGTGTGAGCTTTTAACCTGCTGCAGTACCATATAGTTTCTCAACTAAGCAGAGATTGTTGCCATGACTAGATGTAGCATGATCTTGAGAATCTTCTTGAATATTCCTTTTGCATTTCTTATTTACATAATTGACTCAGTTTCTATAAATGTATCAATTACATTAACACAAACTGACTTGACAGAAGTGTTATATGCAGGAATTTTATCACTTTTTTTGTTTACCGATGCAGGGTTAGATCTGAATCTTGCAATCCTTCTAGCTCCAAAGCATGTAGGGAGAAGTTGCGTAGGGATAGGCTAAATGACAAGTACTCCCATCTCACTTATCATGCCTTTTCTTTGCTTTCTTCCTTTCTCTGCCAAGATTGAATGTTCAACATTGTGTAAATAACAGGTTTACGGAGCTGGGTTCAATTTTGGAACCTGGAAGGCCTCCCAAGACAGACAAGGCTACTATTTTGATTGATGCTGTCCGAATGGTGGCCCAGTTACGAGGTGAAGCCCAGAAATTGAAGGATTCAAATTCAAGTCTCCAGGAAAGGATTAAAGAGTTGAAGGTGAGACTGCCTTGAGGGTCATTTGTGGTTAAAATATTGTCAGAATCTTTAGCAAGCTGTTTTCTATTTAGAAACTGCCAGTATCTTGAAAATGATTAAAGAAACATCAAGTATATCCATTTCGTCATATTAAACTGTATTTCCTCTTTTTTAGGCTGAAAAGAACGAGCTGCGTGATGAAAAGCAGAGGCTGAAGGCAGAGAAGGAAAAGCTGGAGCAGCAACTCAAAGCCATGAATCCACAACCTAGCTTCATGCCTCCCACACCTGCAATCCCTGCTGCATTTGCTGCTGCCCAAGGTCAAGCTCCTGGAAACAAGTTGGTTCCTTTCATTGGTTACCCCGGGGTTGCCATGTGGCAGTTCATGCCACCGGCAGCCATGGATACCTCACAGGATCACATACTCCGCCCTCCGGTTGCCTAAGCTGGCAACCTATAATTATTTGGGTTTGCATTTTGATGCAAACAAGTGTATGTGTTTTGTCATTGTTCTGGGCTGTTGGTAGTTTTTACAGAAGTTTTCTAACTGGATTTATTGGGTGACTATCATTGTACTCCTATGATTTGAAGCTACTAATCACATGTAAATTTATATTAAGTTAATCTGGTAACCTATGTTTCTCTGTTTAACCTTAGGATCTACCTATCAATGATCTGCCTGGTGTGTTAAACATCAAAATCTAGAGTTCGGTCCTTAGCAAATTGGAAAATGGGAATATTTGAAACAATATTCCAAGATAAATTCAATCTTATTAACAAATTTTCAGTTGTTTGGATTAGAGACTATAAATTCTTGTTATTTGCACATGTTTAATGTTGTTTGGTTTCTTTTCCTTTGTTATTTTGTGAGTAAAAAAAAAAAAAACCCCGAGTCAAATGGACAGGACAAGCGGTTGAACTTGCCTTGTAGCTCAAAAAATCAGCAACATATTATACTTGTTGGTGCTGATTGTTATATTTCACCAGCCATTTCTGTAACCATCATTACCTTTTGGTAAACAGTGGATAACCATAAATATATCTATGCAGCTTTGCTTGTTCAGTTGATGCTGTAATTTACTTTCACATTACAGGTTTTGCGGTTGTCGTGTCTAATTTATGAGAGAATGGATAAATTTAGATTTAACAAATTTAATATAATATCATAATATGATACGAAAATAAAATAAAAATATACATATTAACTAATTTAAAATTTTAAAAAAATCATATTAAAAGATGTGTTTTATATTTGATATATTAATACGAATTATAACATAACGATTTTGATGTTTTACGTATACGAAGTAGATATGAATATATAAATTATTAAATCTAGATAAATCATTAGTAAAATAATTTGATAATGAAGTGGGGCAAAGAAGGTGCACTTGAGCATTGAAAACTCTGGCTCGTTGGCGTAATCTCAATTGTTTTCCTATTATTTTTTATAGATTAATATCACTATTCTAATCATCTAATTTCATGTTTATTTAGTTGACTAATCTTGCGGTGAAGATGCCTTGCGTTATATTTCAGAATCCGAAATTGAACTCGAGACCATCAATTCTGAAATCAATTTTAGTATCACTGAACTAACAGCTCATCGGTACTTACCATGGTATATTTGCAAGCTTCAATTTCTGGTTCTTCATTAAGTCTCAAGAATCAGATCTAGACATTTTTGGTGTGCTACAACAAATAAATACTAGTGTGCTCCAATCTTGAAGATGCTTTATCTCAATACAGAAGGAAAAAAAAAATTTTTTAAAGAGAAATTATCATTAGTGAAGAGTGAGTGATGGATTTCACAACCAGGGAAAAAGAGTTCCAAAAAAATCAGAAACCTGTTACTGTTATGATTTCAGAATCTGTATTGAAGGCCTTGAATTTGTAAAGAACTCTCCTCTTTTCTTTCTCATATAAAAACATGTATTTTATCATCAATATGGGTCACTATACTCTCTCAAAAGTTCCTGTCAGGATGCCCTAATATGACAGCCCTTGATGAATTTATCTGAAAAATCAATATATTTAGCCCACAAAGGTCGAAGTTGAGGGAAGGCTATGTCCAGCCATGGCTTTGCTCTGCCATTGAAATGGATGACCCCAGCTGTCTCAGCATCAGCTAAAGTTGTATTGTCCTGGTACCCCAATCCCAACATGTGCCAAAATGGATCAATAACATGAACATGGCCATGGAATGCAATTAGACCAGGGGGTAATGTACCCAGTTGCCACAAACTGAGGTCTGATTTCAAGTTCTGCAGAGTCAATTGAATTAATCAGGACACTTGCACTTGGTTAAAAGGTTAGAATATCGCGAAGATCAGTTGTGGATCCATGATTTTTTTCGGAACATAGATTTATCAATTTTATCGATGAAAAAAGTATTCAGGAAAAATTTTTTAGGGTGCTTTTCAATTTTTGGAGACACCGTACCCAACAACATGGATCTGGCTCTGCCGGAACTGGATTATTTCAATCTCTCTAGTTGCTAGAAATCACCATTAAAAAATGTAAAATAGATGCTTACCTCTTCAAGCCAGTGATGGTATGTAAGGCTAATGTTGGTCTTCCTCCAAGCATCAAGATCAAAGATGTTCATGCCATATGCCCATGCACATTCATTTGGATCAAAATTATTGGCAATCAAAGGATGGGAGAAGTTGAGATAGCTCTTGAACCGCTTTGACATGACAAATGAATCTTCACCCCTACATGTCTCCACTGCTCCATTCACTTTTCCATTCATATCAATATCCCATAGAGGTGAAAGATCAGTTTGTATCACAATGTCATCATCCAGGAAGACCACCTTGTTGAGGCTGGGAAACAACTGCAAAGAAAATGAAGTTTAGAAAGGCCATTAATACCATTGGCGGATCCAGGATTTTTTCTCCAGACATCCACTTATAATATATAAAAATTGTATCGAACAGATCTGAGGTTCAAATTCCAGTAACTGCAAACCCGTTTTCTATTTCTAAACTGCGGTCTCTTTTATAAAAATGATAATAACAAAAAAATATAGTTTATACATTACCTCGGGTAAATGTATCCGAATGTGATTCATCAAAGAGTTGTACTTAGGACTGAGAGCTTGTAGTTTTGCTGCAATAACTTGAGGCTTCTCTGTGTTATTTGCTACTATTGCTGTTGACCCTCCTCTGAACTGAGACCTTACTTTTTGATCCTTTTCCATTGCTTCCAAAACAGGCACCTTCCCCTTTGAAAGCCAATCAAATTGATACAATGCCTTAACCTCAATTATAGCAGGCATTAGAGGATGCAATGAAAACCAGGCCTGCATGGGAGAGTAAGTTTTCCTGTCTGTTATTATGTGTAGCACAAATTTTTCAGGGCTGAAGGCGTTTTTTACAAGGGATTTTGCAACAACGAAGGCTGCAAGCACATTGTCTGAGGCGAGGACGAAGTGGAAGTAAGAGTTGTCGACAAGGGCAGGGACGAGTTCTGGTGAAGGGAGCTGGAGGCGAGCAGCTGCATTGTTGGAGTGTTCATTGGCTAGTTTTAATGCTAAGCAATGGAGCTGTTTTGGTATGCTGCTTGATGCTACATGGCGGTACAAATATTCTTGGATTTTGGCTGTTCTGGCTCTTTGCTCAAGTAGAACTACCTGGAAAAAAAACCAAAAAAAAAAAAAAGAGACAAATTGTGTATTAGTAGGTCCAATATTTTCTGGCCTATGATTAGAAGTAAGAAAAAATCAAGAAAATTAAAAATTGAGTCAAAATCATAGTATTTAATTTGATTTGGATCGATTTTTTTTATTCTGTTTGAATTAAGTTTTGATATTAAATGTATATATTAAATTCAGATCAAATTTTAAATCAAAAAATTAAAAATTGATAAAAAAAGAAACTAAACCGAATTATATATTTTTATTAATCTTTATATATTTTAAATTTTTTAAAATAAAAACAATTATTTTATACCTAAATCTATTTAAATTTATTAAAAATTATATTACAATAATATATAAAATATTAAATTTAAAAAATCGTTGAATCAAATTGAACCAATAAAATTTGATTTAATTCAATTCGGATCATATGAAAATTCGGATCAGATTTTAAAAATTCATAATTTTATGCATTATCCAAAAAAAAGTAAACTGAATCAAATCTTATCTGAATCGTTATCACCCTTAATTATGATCTCATAATTTTTTTTTATATAAAAACAGTCATAGCCTAAGATTAGAGAAAGAGATTATTAGTTTTGAGATTTCAATCTCATACTTATTAGATCACATATCTTAAATAATCATTTTTTTTAATACAGAAGAAGTCATAATATGAGAATAGGAAAATGGATCATTAATTCTGATATTCGAACCTTAGATTTGTTCAATACTATCTCTTAAGAGATAATATAAAAACCAACTTAATTAAGTGTCAGGTTCGTATAATCATTTCGTTAATTAAAATTTAATTCAATTAATTCATATAATTATTTTTAAAAGATAATATTCAACAAATTCAAATTTTAAATTATAACACCTGTGACCTTTTCTCATACTCTCAAACTGCAATTTCTATGTGAAAAGGAAAAAAGAAAAAAGTAATTAAAGTGATACCATTTCTCTAAGCCTTAGAGCAAAGGACTTTGCATCTGATCTGCTTTCCTTCATTTCAGCCATAAACTCTTCTAATGTTTGAGGAATATCAGATTTTCCTTGTACTTCATCTTTGCTTACTGGTTTATCTAGTATTTGGTATATCACCTCTGGGATCTTCAATAAACCACAATTAATGTCATTTCAATTTACTCAAAAAAAAAAAAAAAACTCATATTCTTAATTATTACCTAATATTTGAAAAAAAAAGTAATTAATGAAATAATTAATTTGTTAATAAGTAGAATGAGATTAGGAATTACATTTGACTCAATCCTTCTTCCCAAGATCCTTGGTCTTATTCTTTTCCCCAAGCAACCTATCACAAATCAAAAATTTTTTTAAAATATCAGTAATTAATTAAAAATTCTAATTTTTTTTACTTTTACAGGGGACTTACTGCCAAAATCAACTTTTTCAAGGCAGTTATAAATTTAAGTTACGTCAATTAATTCATATAGTCATATTTAAAAAATAACATTCAATAAATTTAATATTTTAGTTTTAAATTTTATGCTTTGATCTTTTTATAAAAATATTTAAACAATGTGTTTAACTATGGTGATATATATGAAGTAAAATTAATGTAATAACATGGGATGATCCTAATAATCTGACAGCTGCAACGTTGGAATTTGAATTGCTTTGTCATTCACTCTCTTAAACCTTGTAAAACATGTACATTCTCCATGAACTCTAACATCAAAGCCTGCTAAAACAACACTTATCTGATATGTTTTTGAAGAAAACTTACCTATGGTGGAACACTTGGAATGATCACCATCAATGGTATCAACAGTTGACAAAACAAAGACAAACCGAAGAAGGAATGTGAAGAAGAGAAGCGAATAGAAAAGCATTCGATAGGAAACCCGTCTTGAACCAACCTTGACTTTGATGAATTCTCTAACACCTTTCCCTGGAAGTACCGTTACATGCCTCAAACTTGGCGAGATATGAAGCTGCATTGTTTCTTATCCTACAGAAGATTAAAAAAACAGCAAACAGAACTCAAAAACAGACCTCCGGGGTGATCCACTACAGTTCTTCTTTACAGTTCAAATGGCAGTTATTGTGTTGAACTGAGAATACAGAAGAAAGGGGGAGAATCCCAGATAAGGAAATGCCGTAAAAGGGAGGATTTTGAAAGAGTGTGTTTTAAATGGTAGCTGTCAGTTACCTAACCTTGCTTAGCATACAGGTTAAATATGTCATGGAGGTTTCCCTGGAAGTTCATTTATTTTTTTTTTTACACAGAGGCTGTTGTTCAAAAACATCTAAGTGTTAATTCTAGACTTGTTGATATGAATCAACTTAATTAAATTCTAAAATCGAAAATTATTTAATTTTAGAAAAGGGGTTGTTAAAGAGAAAAAGACATGAGACTTAGAAGAATGAAGGCAATGGAATTTTATGTTGATTTAGGAGGTTTAGCTTGGTTTTGAAGTAGGGAAGTTGAGAGATCATCAGAACAAAATCCCAAAAAAAAGGAAAATTTTGTTTGGTATAACGTATCTTTGCCTCCACATGAAGGTTTAGTTTTTTTGTAGCCATAGGGAAAAAAAAAAAAAGAAAAGAAAAGAAAAGAAAGAGTTAGGGCTCTGATGGAACAGAGTTTCTAAATGGAAAATGACATTCTCTTTCTCTTTCTATAATCTGTTTTCAAAGTGGGGTTTGAATCACTTTGACTTTGGTTGTTGGAGTGAAAACACAGGAAAGCAGGTATTTTAGTCACATTTTCATTGCTCCAATGTAATATAATAATCAAAATATCATATTAAATTTTGATAACTTCAAATATTAAACAATGAGAATAAAATTTTTATGTATTTCAAAAATTATACATAAAAAATCTTTTCTGCAATTACAAGCTGCCATTTTTGAGAGAAGCCTCATCATTTACAATTTGGAGATATGGGAAAGGCTTTCTTAGGAAGAATGAAAAGATGAGATGAAAATTTTCTATACTAATAGAGAAAAAGTTTTTAATTTAATACTTAAAATTACATTTTTTTTATTATTTTATGATTGAAATTCTTTCAATTTTCTTTCTTCTTAAAGATTGATTTGATCCGGGTGTCACGGACTTAATGGGGAGTCTTGAATTTCACATCGAACATAATAAGAGGGTTATTAGGGTATAAAAAGGTTCACACCACCTCTACCTTGTGAGCGCCTTTTATATGATAAAATCGTGAGATCAAAGGGATCAAAACAGATAATACTTTATAAGAGTGTGAACCGTGACAGATAAGTTGATCTAATATATTTTTTCGACCTCTTTCACATGGCTATCCTTTAAACATAGATGTAAGTAAGGATAAGAAAAAAAAATTAAAAAAATAAAAAATCGATTCAAAATCATGATATTTGATTTTATTTGAATTAATTTTTTTATTCAATTCATATATCGAACGTATATATTAAGTTCAAATCGAATTTTGAATTTATATGTGAAAAAAAAAAGAATCAAATCAAATTATATATTTTTATTAATTTTTATATATTTTTTAAATTTTTATAAAATAAAAATAATTATTTTATACATAAATTTATTTAAATATATTAAAAATTTTATCAAAATAATATATAAAAAAATTAAAATTAAGAAATCGATGAACTAAACATAATTAAACCAATAGAATTCAATTCAAATTAGATTTAAGAGAAAATTAATTCATATTCGAATCAAATTTTAAAAATTTATGATATTATATATTATTTAAAAAAATTAAATTAAATTCGATTCAATCTAAACTATTATTATCTTAAGGGTTTGAAATCCAAATCTGTTACATATTATATCTTTAAAAAAATCGAGCAAAATATTAATAAAGATTTTTCTCCTTTTTTTAATTGGTTTTATTTTATTTTTGAAATGGGACTGAGGAAGAGCCCAAGAGGATATCTTGGACTCGTTGGGCTATGAGGAAAAGAAAACCATTTGGGCAAACCACAACTTGTGGCTCAAACTGAGCCCAAAATATTGTGGCCAATCAAAATCAAGTTTAGTAAATATGTAAGGCATAGCCAGTTAGCCACACCAAAAAAAAAAAAAATGTAGAAACATGAATTTTCTCTCTTCTTTTAACAATTTTATTGGTACCAGAGATATGTAACAGTGAGTTGGAAACTAAAGCTAGTGAATGAATTACTACGTATCTAGTATTGCAATGCCTGTGCAGTACTATGAATCATTAAACAAAATAAAAAAGGAAGAAATGAAAGAAACATATTGAGAATCAGACACGTACACTACATTTGTGAACCCCTTTTGCTTGGATTATCTGATCCATATACGGCAGCATAAGCATTGTGCTTGTTGTTTATCATCTGTGCTGGTGATGAGTTTCTCAAATATTTATATAGATTACAAGGTAACGAAGCACAAACACTTTTAAATTTTTCATGTATCGATGTTGTATTTATATTTGATATTTTGACGTTTGCAATATGTCCAAATACTTGTCGAATTTAGCTAAATATGATAAAAAAAAAAAAAGAAAAAAAATAATTCTCGTATGGATAATGACATCATATGTTCTTATGTTGTTGTGTCTATCATTAATTTTTTTTTTCATAAAAATAAATATCTTTTAAAATTTCGGCCAATATCTATTATATATTTTTAATTGATAATTATAAGATATAAAAATATTTTTTATTATCGCATCCTGCCATATATATTTATTTATTAAAAATTATCCTATTCTCGTATTTTTATTATATTATATCTATATTACATATCTGTATCTATACTTTATAATTACCAAGTAAAAAATAAAAAAATAACACCAAAATAAAGCCAAACTGTGGAACTCATGTTTCAACAAAGCCAAATTATGCTAGTGGAATGTTTCTCAAAGATTTACATAGATTAGCCTCATCCTGCCAGAGAAATATGACCTCATCATGCCAGAGAAATATGAACTTCAAAACAAAGACTCATGTATATATGGAACTCATGTTTCAACAAAGTTGTTGATTACCATGTTGGAACATGTTCCGGTTGCTTTGTTCCTTTTGTTCAACATCTCTACAGTCTTTAAAAGTAACCCAACTTATCAGAAATTATTTGCTTAGATTCGAAAACCTCATAGTTTTATCAACAAACAAAACACTTGACAAGTATGGATTGAATCCTCACATTTTCCTGTTTCTGCAGACATTGATTAATAAATGAAAACGTCATGATTTTGGTGCAATGTCAGGGGAAAGTAAAAATAAAAGGGTGGAAAGAAATAAAAAACGTTCCACAATCAGGCATTTGATCGGAGTAGATTCCTTGTTACCAAGTCATTGCTCAGCCACAAGTTTCTATTCGATTCCCCGAGACATTCATAGCTGGAGCTATATCATTTTTTGTTCTATTCTGGTGATGTCTTGTCAGGTTCTTTCAGAGATTACAATGTAAAAACCAAATTGATGCTTTATAGAAACAAAATATAGATTTGGATGGAAGTTTCTTTCTTTGGACTATTTCATGGTGATGACAAAATCATTCAACTCTTGTTCTTGGTTCAACCTATAAGGTTTGGCTGTTTTTCAACATCCAAGGCCTATAAATGCTCTTCCAACACAACTTTTCAATTCCCTAGCGATGGATACCGTGATTGGAGTCCTTGCTGAAACTGGTATATGTGCGCTCAACTTTTTCTTTTCAAGCATTTCCACCCTTGTAAAACTCCACCATAACACCAAACGCCTGCAGGATGAAATAGAAAAACTTGAGGATCGAAAGAATGGGATCGAAGATGATGTAAGATTAGCTGAAACAGAAGGGAAATGTCCAACTGCACAAGTCAAAGGATGGCTTAGAAATGTTGAGGAGATCGAACGAGAAGTACAGCCAATGTTAGAACAGGCTGATGGGATCGCTGTACAAGGATGCAGTCCATGCTGCAACATTCTTACCCGGTACCGGCTCAGCAGACGTATGGCAAAGAAGCTTCTTGTGGTGAAGAAGCTGATTGATTCTTGCAATTTTGATACTATTGTTACTGTCAAGAAGTCTCCTGTAAGAGCTGTTGAGGAACAAGGACCATCTCTTGCCGGTCAGAGAGAAGCAGAAGAGATGATAGACAAACTAATGGAATTGTTGAAGCGGGATGAAAACAAAAGGATAGCTGTGTGGGGAAGACTACATTGGTCAGAAACCTGAACAACAAGCTTGAGTCGTCCTCTTTGATGGAAGCACTAGATATTGTCATCTGGGTCACAGTGTCAAAGGACTTGGATTTGAACAAGGTTCAATCTCAAATAGCCAAGAGATTGAACTTAGAATTGGATGCCAACGATTCCTTGGAAGAAAGGGCTAAGATGCTGCTTAAAAGATTGATGAAGAAAAGGTTCCTCCTGATTCTGAATGATGTTTGGGAGCAAATTGATTTGGACAGTGTGGGGGTCCCCGAAAGCTATGATCAAGCCAACTGTAAGATTCTCCTGACAACTCGATCCCTCGATGTCTGCAGGGCAATAATGACCGATGAACAGATCAAGCTGGACGTTCTAAACGAAGAAGCAGCTTGGAATTTGTTTGCTCAGAATGCGGGAGATGCGGTAGAAGTACCAGGCATTAATCCACTAGCAAGGGCAGTTGCAAGGGAATGCAGTGGCTTGCCATTAGCACTCAAGACAGTTGGGAAATCAATGAGGAACAAAAGGAAAATTGAGTTGTGGAAACATGCACTTCACCATTTGCAGTGTTCAGCTCCTCACATCAAAAGCATCGAGGACGAAGTCTATCTTCCTTTAAAGTTGAGTTACAACTCATTGCCAAGTAAGATTCTGCAGTCATGCTTTCTGTTTTGTTCTTTATATCCGGAAAACTATTCGATCCGAACAAACGAATTGATTCAATGCTGGATAGCTGATGGATTAATCAATGAACACCAGTCTCTAGAAGAATGTTTCAATGATGGGATAGCTTTGATTGAAACTCTGATGGACTATTGCTTATTAGAACAAGGTGAAGCGGCTGGAACTGTGAAATTGCATGATTTGGTCAGGGATGTAGCCATATGGATATCAAAGAAAAGTGGATTTTCATGTGAATCCAGCACTACCTCAGATGAAATAAAACAAGTGTCAGAGGAATCTCGGACAAGGATTTCATTTATGAACATCACTAAATTACCCAAACAATTATCTGGTTTCTCTGAGCTAACTGTGCTATTCCTTCTAGGTAATCCTATTAACAAAATCCATGATAATCTCTTTGGAGGACTTAGAAAGCTCAGAGTCCTAAATTTGAGCCAATCTCATATAGCTTCTTTGCCACCTTCTCTTAGTCAGCTACAGAAGCTTCGTGCTCTTCTACTAAGAGACTGTTGTTATCTAGAGAAGCTACCCCCACTTGGAGCTCTTTATAAACTCCAGGTGATCGATCTCTCTGGCACTAGACTTAGGGAACTACCAAACGGGATGAGTAAGCTAAACAAGCTGAGAGAACTACATTTGTCCCGAACACACCATCTAGAAACCATTGAAGCAGGTACAATTTCAGGATTGCAAAGCCTGGAGTTATTGGACATGTCTTTCGGTGCATATAACTGGGATGCCAGATGCCATGTAGAAGATGGGAGAGTTGCATTCGATGAAATACTTACCCTGGAGCAGCTATCAATAGTTAAAATAAGACTAGAAAAGGTTGATTCTCTTCCACTGGATGCTGCTTGGTTGAGGAGACTGAAAGAGTTTAACATACAAATTAGCCCAGCCAGTTGTGATTCAAACCATCTGCCAACTCAACATGATGAAAAGAGAGTCATTCTCAGAGGAGTCGACCTTATGGGAAGAGGGCTCAATGGGCTGTTGTGCACTGCAAGTGCCTTGGACCTGGTTATATGTGGAGGCATGAGTGCCTTATCCGAACTGGCTGTCAACAATAGCTTGTCCGGCCTGAAAAGCTTGAAGTCACTCACTATATCAAAGTGTGATTGCATTACTAGTCTGATAAGTGGAGAGAACATTTTGGGAAGCATCTTACCGAACTTGGGGCATTTAAGCCTCTCTCGCTTAGAAAATTTATCAGCAATTTTGGGTGGCATGGTCCCTAGAAGAGGATGCCTCAGATGGCTAAAAACCATAGAAGTGGTGGACTGTAAAAAACTGAAGACCCTCATATCCTTTGCTTTACTTCAACAGGTTAAAAACCTTGAAAAGATCAAGGTAAGAAACTGCAGAAAAATGAAATGTATCATTTCAGGAGAAGTTTCTATAGACATGATCCCAAAACTAAGAGTCATAGAATTGAGAGCTTTGACCATGTTAAAGACAGTTTGTTCAAGTGTGCCTGCATGGCCCGCTTTGGAGATGATTGAAGTGAGAAACTGTCCCATGCTGACAAAGCTTCCTTTTGCAACAAGCAATGCAGCAACTCTTAGAGAAATAAGAGGGGAGTTACAGTGGTGGAATAGTCTTACGTGGAATGATCATCATGATGATGAGATAAAATTCAGCCTTCAGCAACGATTCCAACCATGCACAGCCTCTCCAATGCTGAGAATGGAAGACAGATGGGTAAGAACAATTCCCCTTCCAGTCCATGCCTTTTGCTTTACATTTGGTTTCTCGAGTATTTCTTACTCTTCTTCTCTGGTTAATTTTCCTTGTTCATAGGCCTAGTAGCCGGGAAAGGCCATGGTTGAGAAATGGTCTTCAACAAACTGTATGGCACAAATCAATTCAGGTTGATATCTTGCACTTGGTTGGATTATAGGAGTTAGATCATTCGGCTTTGGGATTTTGTAATGAAACATAACCAAAATCTTCTCGTTTTTGGTGGTTGGAAAACCAATTCTATAAAATAAAATGTAAGAAATCTTTTTTTTTTTTCTAGCTTCTTAGCTTGTGGTATAGCAGATTAAAAAGAGATGGTGTAAATAAGCGTTTATATAATATACGAACCTAGAATTTAGTTTAGTTTGTTCATTAAATCACTTTTAAAACGTTACATTAAGATTTGAAGTTCAAATCTTATTATTTATGAGTGATAATGAGTCAAATCATATTGTATTCGATTTTATTTTATTGGATAATATATAAACTTATAAATTTTTAAGATTCAATTTAAATTTAAATTAAATTTTCATATAATCTGATTCAAATTAAATTTTATTAGTTCGATTTATCATTTTTTTAATTTAATTTTTTATTTTTTATATATTATTTTAATATGATTTTTAATACATTTCAATAAATTTAAATATAAAATAATTATTTTGATTTTATAAAAACTTAAATTATATATATAAATTAATAAAAAAATATATAATTAAGGTCAATTTAATTTTTTTAAAATTTTTTATCTCTCAATCTAAAATTTGATCTGAACTTAATATATACATTAAATATCTAAACTTAATTTGATCCAACTAAAAAAAATTCAAACTAAACTAAATTTAATGATTTCAAATTAATTTTCATTTTTTTTTTTTTTTCCTCATTCCTCCCAATACCTGCTATCTTTTTTTTATCCCTAACATGTGACATTCTTTGGAAAAACAAAAAGTGTAAATATACCAAGGCCAATGTAATGACAGTGCTCGTCTTGAATGCCAAAAAAACCTTGCCATGGGTTTATTAGACAAAGAATTCTTGGAAAGCATGTTTCAGACAAGAATCATTCGTCTTGGAAAAATGTCATGACTCATGAGATTTCTTTATGTCAGAGAAACCTAGCCATATCTTTTGGCTATCTTTTTCTTCTCTAACAGATAAAAAAATAAATTCGATAATTCACGTAACAATATAAAAAACAATTATCATATTTTATACAAAAATCATATATCACAATTTGTATTATTATAAAAATATACAATACAATTTTTTAATTTTATTAAACTTATTTATGATTTTTTTTTAAATTCTAAATTATTATTTTTATATTTTTTATTCCTATCGTATTATCGTGTTTTAAATTATCCAATCTACTAAAAAATCAAAAAGGTAACAAAAAAACTTTCAAATTAATAGAATAGAAGCCATTGGGCATTATAGGTAATGCTATTATTATTCACAATTGGGAATTGCTTGTCTGTTTTAGTTTAAATTATCTGAACAAACAAAGGTAAAACATTCTGCTTTCACAGTCAAGACCCCTCTGCCTCTTGTTTATATATTGCCACCCATAGTATTTAACACTGTTATAATAGAGCCTCATTTGAAAAATAAAAAATATATTGCCCTTTGAATAGGAGAAAAGAACAAACTTGTAGTATTTTCGTAACTTATTATCAGAAAGCCTTACCTAAAATTCATTAGAAGCAAACACTAAGCAAAGAAAAAAAAAAAAATTCAACAGATGCAAAAAAGGCCGGGAAAGGTTGAGTGTGCATGATTCAAACTCTAAACTTGCTGAAACCATGTCTTAGGTTGGATGAACAACCTGAACTAAGCTTCAGGTTCAAAACAAATCAATTATAGCCGAAGGAAACATTAAAAACTGCTTTTGTCATAAACGACTTAACAATGGGGACAGTTCACACCATGCTCAAGCAGGCATTTTTATAATCTAAACATTCATTGCAAGATTCCAAATTAAGTTCATATAGAAACTAATTGCCATAACGACCAATGTCCCACCATGTCCTACGTGCAGACCTTTAATTGACATGGCATGGCAGATGGCACACCAGCTTATTGAGCCATTAAATTAAACAATAAGAAATGTGATGACACCTTAAAATGACAAGTGGTAACAGAAGCAATGAGGTAGATGGCATCATATCATTATACATAACAAGGAACATTGAACATCCTAGTGAGAATGAAAGTGATTTAAATTATGTAAGTTTATCACTTTGAGGGTTATGCAAGATCCTGAGCTCTTGCAAATGATAAGTTTGGAAACATTTATAACAACATTCAACAATTTAAACTAGAAATAGTAAAATTACCTCTAATCAAACTCATCACCTTCATCTTCAAAATGATTCTCCGTCTTGAGGCCTTCACTGTTATTATTTACAAACTTGTGTTGAGCTTCCATTCTTGAGCTCTCTCTATTATTTACAATCTCAAGCCGGGTTTTGGCTTTAAGGCTGTCACTTTTATTTACAAAGCCCTTGGTTCCTTTAGGCATCTGAGAACCATTCAAACTAGTTTCTTCGATGCCATTGTGAAGTTCAGCAACTGCAGCACCATTTTCGGTTATGGAGTCAAGAGAGCCAGAGCTACTTCTACATGGAAGGTGGCCATTTTCAGACAGCCCAGTCCTCTGATGCAGCAGGCGTCCATTGCTATAGCTATCTACAATTGGAATCCTGTAAACCAGAGGATAAGAGTTAATGAGTCATCCATGAATGTCAACATAAGCAAGTCTAACGGTTGTAAGAAATGCGATTTGACAATAAAGTAGACAAAAACAAGGGCTAAAGAAACCAAAAGTGTGATACACATTATGCAATTGTTAAACTAATAGATCCTATACCCTGTAAATTAACTACTCCTTTGCTTTGGTGTAGAATGCATTCTTTCGAAATGATACTATGAACCAAAAATCTCAAATATCTGGACTTATGTGCAGGTGAAAAAGAATTGAGATGCATCCTTAGAATCAGCAAAAACAGCTAGACATAGCTTTCAGCACACCTTGCTTGCTGGAATTTAGGAGTTTGAAGGTAGTCAAAAACTGGAACTAAGTCTTTTGACTGTGCTTCAATCATGCAAGTTGGGAACCTTTCAATTTCTATTTCCCCTCCAAAAGCGTTTTCTTCAACCATGTTGATGCCATTCATCACCATTGATTGAAAGTATATCTGGAAAGAAATAGAACAAGAAGAAAGATGAATTTCTTCAAAAAGAAAAACACAGTATTTCATTTGCAACGGCCACACACCCGTGTGTGCAAAGACACAGAGTCCATAGTGAAAAGTGAGACTTGAACCCAAGTCCTAGGCATAACCAGCAAAGGACTATACCAAATAAGCTAGCTGGCACCTCCAAGCATAAGCATATCTCAACAAACAAACATCTAAGGAATTCCTAACCACAGAATAATACCTCTGGTTTTGCCCACAATGGCTTTCGAGCTTGATGCATCTGCAGCTCAGCTTCTGAAATATACAAATTATGTTTTTCCTCAGGGTTGGCATTTGCTTTGTCAACAGAGGATGGGTCAGGGAATGTAGTTCTCTCTTTGATTTCTTCAGGATATACTTTACCATTGTCTGATGTTCCTTTCTCACCATATATGTCTACGTTATCTTCTCGCTCCCTTTGGGTGTGTTTCTGAAAAATAGTCCACTTCTGCATTGCCTCGACTACTAACCTTTCATCAGATTCTAAAGTTGAATCATATGCTGTGTTTAATCCAGAAACAACAGGTGTTGAATCACGGTCGGCCGATAGTCGTAAAGCATACTGTATCATACATCCAGAAGGAGAGAAAACCAGAAGGTGATTTTTTGTCTTCAAAGAGCTGCTCTCAGCAAACAAAAAATTATTGCCTTTGCAGTTATGGAAAGAGGAAGCAATGGCCCCTGAAAGAGAACCCATCCTGCCAGTTGCAGCTGCTGCAGCACCACTTACAGTGCCTCTCCAACCATTGTTTCCATTCCTTATTCTGCCAACAACAGAAAGTGTCACTGGACATCCAGATGCACAAAGATTTGTTTGAGTAGGTGTCTGTACTCCTAAATTAGGCGGCCAATGAATTTGTGTCTTAGTCATAACACCCAAACCGCTACTTTTAGGGGCAAAACCAACATCAGCAGATTGAAAACTTACAGATCCTCCCATTGGATTGATAGCAAATAGATGGCTTGTCCCTCTTAAAGAACTAATCATAATCCAGTTGCCATCATCACTGAAACTAATATCCTGTATTACCTGAAATCTCAAAATAATGGAAAAAGATTAAGAAAAAACTCAAGTCACTAATAACATATAAGAATTATACTGGACATTGATGCTGTTCTTACAGCATTTGTAAAACCACGCTGCAGCCGGTAGAGATGTGCAAATGATGCTGGTGCATCGCATGCAGAAGAGCTTCCTTGAAGTCCAGGCATAATCTTGAACACATTGATATTATGACCCTGAACTGAAGCTGTCACGAGAAGGGTCCCACTGGGATCAAAGCATAATGCTGAAATAGGACTCTTGTGTGCCCTAAACTGAGCAATAACAACTTTACTGACAATATCTCTGACAATAACCTGATAAGCCCATGGAAAAAATAATAAGTGATGTGTAATAAAAAGGTTTTGCTTGTATTCTTTTCGTAGATAATTGGCAATCAAGAGAGCACAACTGAAAAAACATTTCGTATTATGTACTCTATGAGAGGAATGCAAGCCTCAGACTAAAAGACATATAGTAATACATAAGCTGTTGAACAGAATTTTATACAAGTCGGTCTAACTACACATAAGATTGGCAACTTGCAGACATGGAATTAAAGGCTAGACATGGGGCCAAATGTGCAAAATAGAAGGGAAAAAGGGGGCATGAAAAATACATGTCTAAGTTGCAGGTGTAACATAACTTGAGGAGAAAATATGTACCATTCCGATGTTATCGGTGTCCAGCAAATGACCATTAACAGTTCCATTGCCTTTCCAGCCAGGACTTCCTGATTGTGCAGAATTGTATGAATCAGGCAGGTACCTCGACAGTTTCTTATATCCCTTATCTCCTAAGGTCACAATCCCAGCAGCAAGT